TTGTTCGTCTATTTTATTCTTAATTGCATTGAATCTGTATGAATTTTGACTAAATTATTATTAAAAACTCTTAGATCAAGCAAAATTAAATTACCTTCAATTTTTGTTTTTTATACTACCACTAAATTAAATTATGCCTAGTTTGGCAACATCGCATGAAGTTATACGAGCAATCGTACATATATCTTACCCAAAATGTATGTTCTATATTGTCCCATTAAAATGTGCGCAATCGTATTATGAAAAAGGTAAAATGCGCGCAATCGTATTTTACTGAAATATCTGTTACCTGTGGCTTCTATTTTAGTACTTTTATGACCCATACGGTATCCTAAATGATATGTGTGTGTGTGTGTGTGAAATTTAGTTCCAGTCAAAAACTGTGAATTTTCATAATACGTGTTATTTAAATGTGACCCGACCAATAATATCCGTGTTATCTGACTATCCATTATTATTATTCTGTTATAATCTATCTATAATATATGTTTTCAGTTTTATTTCAGTTTAAATATTCTCGATTGATTTTGTTAAAATCGATAAAGCATTTTTATTATTAAATAAACCTCGTTCATATACTTTTCCTCTAATATATAATATATGTTACTTAATTTTACATTTATATAGAATTATCTAATAGCTTTATAAGCCTAAATGAAAAATAATTATGCAACACAAAAAATCATAACGATTACTATTTTATTATCTCAGATAATTTATCTGTAACCAACAAATCCTATATCGAAACAAACAAATATTCAATTTTCGTGAGCTGAAACAAAATCCATGTGAGAGTTACTATAATATTATGACAAAATATAAGCCATAGGGGTTGAACAAATAAAAGATAAACATTATCCGAGTCTCAAGGAATCTATTCCAATAATATCTTAGGTCCAATAGTTTCTGACCCAATATAATATGACAAAGAAGCAGACAAACATTGAAATATTCATTTATATTTATTTGTATAAATAGATACAGATAGTATTTTAAGAAAGAAATACAAGTAGGAACTACTACATACTTTGTATATTTTTACAAACTATTCATTTTTAATTCCGCTATTTATTTATATAAAGTAAAAATACTTTTTGATTAAAGGAAATAGTGTTACTATTATCATTATGCGTTTACTAACATTATAACATAGAAATGCCGTTTGCGGGATGTAAGAATTGAAGAATATGCACCTGCGTTTCCATATATACATATACAGACATACCACATACAGTATCATGGTATTTTTTTTGTACCCGCGTGTTAATTCAAAGACACCCATTATAATTTTACTAGGTGAAGTAGTCTCATTTTTGGTATCTATACCTATGTTGAATATTATTACAGTGAAACCTCCTTTAACGGACACCTTTCAATAGCGGACACCTCCAATTAATAACGGACGGAATTTTGGGAACGRTGAAATACACACTCACTGTATTTCCCTTCTTAATAGCGGACACCTCCAAACAGCGGACGACGTTTAAGCGACCAAGAGTGTCCGGTATTTAGAGGTTTCACTGTAGCTGGTTTTGTACATATCACAAAACAACTATATTATCTTATTGAAAAGTCGATGAGTGACAATTTTTATGAAAACTATTATTACATTTAAATATTTAATACATCAATATTATAGTGATCTGCAGTCACATAGATACAACTCGACACACATTAATAGCATATACTCGGGTAGGYACTCACCTAAACGTCATATATTTGTGCAATTGTTGGTCGGCCGTTGTCGCCGACCAGTTAAATTCCAGTTGATTGCAGCCACCTTCGGCGGCCGGTTGACCACCACGAGCGAGCAGTTTTCCGTTCACGGTGATCGTATAATTGTACAGCGTCGAGGCGGCTGTCGTGCAGTTCATCCTCACTGCAAACAATACGATAAAAATATAAACATTTTATTTGAGTTGATGCACAGTAMAAATGACAGCAGTTTAGTAATATACAAGATGTCCTATTAGCTGTAGACGGGAACTCGCCAACCGGATAAAAACCAGTTTTTTGTCGTTTTATCCATAAACTATAAAAATTATTAAAAACCAWGAAAGGTCAACATTTTCAGATAAATAAACTCTATAAAATAGGTATCTTAAGTTTTTTAACATTTTTACCAAAAAATTAAGTAAAATACATGTAGCCCTTGTATATGTGAGTCTAAAAAAAAAAAACAAATTTATGATATATTTATTATCTCTGGATATATCGCAATGGTTAAATCCTYGTAGGGCACCCTGTATATAGGTATCGTGAAGTGGTCCACAAAACAGCACGAGATAATATTGCGCAGAGACTGCAATGAATGCTGTAAACGCGTGTTTGTCGAGCGTATTACATATTTTAATATGTATATGTGTATTATTATGTTACTACATTATTATACACCAACGCAAAATCGTCCAATTCGTAAAATAGTCGCTATTTTTCTGGACCATTTCGTGAAACTACCGTGTCGCTGGTACAATATTCATGAAACGGCTAAAAGACAACGTTGTTCTATTTTCCAAACGAAATGGAAAAATTTCAGTTCTCATCGTAAACAGTGGTATTGTGACCAATGACTCTGACACATCAACTAAATCTATATTATTATTAAACATTAAGTATTTACATATTTTTAGAAATGATATTGAAAATGTATTTTTATTTGTATAATTTTTTTTTTTTATTATTATTAAATGAGCCCTCGGCAGCATTGGCCATTGGCGGTTTACATAAGTTTAGATTACATTACATGTTAAATCAAGTTACATATAAGAGAACTTAGTTTTAAATTTTGGATTAGAGATTAGGTGTCGGCAATGGCTTTGGGATGATTGTGGAGTATTTCGGCAAGCGATTCAGGCAAGTTGAGACTTGATTGGATATTGTGGTATATACGGCATTCGGTGAGTATGTGTTTTTCACAATTTTGACCAATTCTTAGTCTCGTTAGGATGACTTCGAATTTTCTGGGTATTTTGACAGGAATTATTTGTATAATTTTTGAATAAACATATTTAATAAAAAATATTTTTTAAATTTTAAGCTTTTATAGTAACATAGTTGTAATTCRTAATACTATATATTATTACTATGTGTCTTGTACTACAATGAAATCCTCTAGATGAGGAGTTACATAGATCCGAAATAGTTTTAATTCTATTCATAATTATAACTCTAAATGAGTGTAAAAAAACAAACAATTATTTATATTAAGAATAAAAATTGAAATTTACTCGTACCTAAACCTACATAAACTTGTACCTAGGTTTTTATTACAAGGGGTAACGAGGGGTTACAAGGGGTAATACGTTAAAAAGGTTGAAAAATCTTTCTGTACACGACATTATGATATAATACAATATAACATAGTATTTATTTATACGTATATGAACAAGAATATTCTGATTTAAAAATAGACTAATTTAGCTTCAAATAAGTCAAAATATTTTGATAATTTTAACATGTATATAAATTAGGAAATGATACAATAAATATTTTATAAAATTGTTAAGTATCTAAGGTTATTCGTTTTTGAAAAAAAAAGAAGACATTTTTTTAGGAGAATTCGTAAAATTTCTTATCCATTTTTATAATAATTTGCACATGTTTGACTAATGGTACATAATGATACTAATAGTAGTTAAATAAACATCTAGTGAAAATTTTAAGTATATTATATAAGATCAATTTTGTCAAAAACTAATTTGGCGTAAAATTCTCATTTTTCATCATTATTTTTTTTCTTGATGTTTTTAAAATCTACTACGAATAATGAAATTTTACTTATCAAAAATACTACAAGATTCACTGTTTTACCAAAAGTTGAAAATCAAAGAATTATTTCGTCTACTTATCAAGTATTCGTGTATACATAAACTCACATCATTGTAAAATGAATACAATCAACGCTCTGCTCGGAATCTAAAATGAAGGTCCTTGTGCAAAAAAAGGAGATTGTAACGCCGCAGAAATGAAACAGTAAATGGTATATAAAATTAAGGTATTTKAAAATAATAAAACGAAGTCTTCGACTTAACTCAAACATTTAAAATMAAATCAAAATTAGAATAYATGAATTATTAAAGGATATAATGCGAGTAATCTTGCAATCTTACTTGGTAAATTATGCCTTATAAATTTTTACTAACCAAATTTATGTATTACCTATACATAACATTATATCGAAGTTGCGCCATCACGAACTTTGTGTTTAATTATGAATTACCGTTGCTGTCTGGCATCAGTTGTAACGTTGACAAAAAGTAAATTTCATGAATCAGGCAATTTCGCATCTGAGTCGTTACGCATTAATGTAGGAAGGTAAAAGATATTTCGCGATTTGTGCTGGGACCCTGGGGGGTGAGACGATAGTAAAGCGACGCGAGATAAATAAGGATATTTTCTCGGGAAAACAGACGGCGCCAAAAATCTTGTAACAGAACAAAACAAAAATTATATACACGTATATACACTACCATGGAATGGCGGTTGTTTTGGCGTCAACATCCGGAAAAGCAAAACCATTTGTCATCCGGCCGGCGAGGGGAGCGGTGCGCATCTGTAGTAGCGAGGAGTATAATTCTTTGGATAAAATATCAAGGCRCGGGATTCTCTACTTTCAGCCCTTTCCGACACTCATATAATCCACCYCAACCCTTACCCTCCCATTTTCCCGGTCAAGTTTAGGTCGGACTTAAACAACTACTGTGCCATTAATACAATAATAGCAATAATAGTTGTTATTAATCAGTATAAATAATATTAAAACTACAATAGTATGCTCTACTATAATAACAGTTAGTTGTATATTATTATTATTTCCTATCACATAACGCTAAGCATTAATAATATTATTTACGTGCAGCACGCTGAATGAAAATTCACTTGTGCCGACACCAGCGGACGCATATCGATCATCGGACGACGTGTTAGCWATAACAGCTGTATTATATAATAATAATATATAATATACGAGTAGGCGCCGTCAACAACGCCGCCGCAGTTGCRGTTGGTTCTTGACGAGTCCCAATGGGGACGGGGCCGAAGGTATTTTTTAACAAACACATCTCACTTATTTTTCCGTCTATAGATGGACACGAAAAGTAAGTAATTTTATGTCCTCTACATTTTACATACCGATATATGAAATAATATTTATTAAACGTTTTATTTTTTTGATGGCCAAAAATCAAAATGAATATTTTAGAGTTATTGCGTAGATATTCACACTTATCCATCATCCGTGGTGGTCGGGCGACCCACGCATCGGAACTACCGCTGCGTCGTGTATATTATTTTGCATACATAGCTTGTCGTACCTCCWGGCAATATTATTATGTTATCGAATTATACAGACGTGACGATTCTATTGAAAYGGGTCGGTATGAGGAACTCGAATTCGGACGAGTGCCATTAAAATGTCAACGAGTTGTATATTATTATTATTATCATGGTTGTCCTAATCGAATTATACAAATTTTTCGCCCATGTTATGCGTATATACRTAAATCCAAACACATGAAAATGTAATTTCGTCATCGTCGCTGTTTGTTTTGTATTCAGTAATGGTCTGCGTGTACCCATATTATATTATAATATAATATATACATGCATTGTATATTTGAGAGATGYAGGTACGCACAATTATTACAATTATTATTATGATATTATTATACACATTCAGAACGGCGACCTTACAGCCGTGGTTTGTATGTTTAATATAGATTATCGGATTCGGCTACGAGTTTGAGTACACCCCGTTTAATTATTTAAWTAACAATATTATTAATGCTATTTTGGATGTTTTACTATACAACTAATATATAGGTACTATACCACTACTACCAGCCACAAGTATATGCTACGACTTCTATTGCCGCACTCGCCTACACACTACACGCATATATGTATGAGCAGCGTAGGTATATATACATGATATCATATATATATATATATGTGTGTGTGTGTGTGTGTGTGTGTGTGTGTGTACCTTTAGTATACGTTTTAACCATAAAAGGTCAAGTGTAAATTAT